TTATTTTTGCTACCGAGTTGAAGGTTTAATCAGAAGCTGAAAAGCAAGACACACTAATTAGTTAGACGAGAAAGGGAGAGTACTTACTTTTGTTATCTTCTCCAGGTCATCTTTTCCTCCATCAGTGACATCGTCGCCAAAAACCACACGTTCAGCACAGCGTCCACCATGAGCTACCACCATTTGCATTTTCATATAACCAAACGTGGTATAACCTTGGTCGACCATGTCTTCACGTGGATAGAAAACCGATACAGCAGTTTGTTAAATTCAAGAAAAAAGTTTATTCAATTCATTCTTACACTGTGTTGAGTGTTCAAACACCACTATCATTATAACTGGAAAATAATTAATTGAAACAGACCTTTCCACCAGGAAGGAGCTGCGAAAATGCATGCCAGTCAAATCGAGGAAACAAATGAGCCAACACTATATGACCAGCCTCATGAACAGCCAGGAGTCTCTTCTTTTCGTAAGATACCTAATATTACATAAGGTTCAACAGTAAGGGCTTTTTTTAGCTCTGGAGCATAGTATGATTTGAGATCAATAGTACAAAGGATGTCAGTACGAACACTTTGTTCACATTTTTGTTGCTCTTCCTCTGTAAGAAGCACACCCATACCCTCGAGCAATTGTTTATCTAAAACATCAACAATGTCTTGTTGATATATGTAAGAACGTCCCTTCCTTACCTGTAAAATTGAAGTAGGATCCTTAACAATTCAACAACGCTCCTCTAAGTATTGTATAATTAAATTGGGAAATTGAGATCCACATAAGAATATGACATACCGACATTATAGCTGCTTCGTTAACAAGATTCCGGATATCTGCCCCGGAAAAGCCAACCGTACGAAAAACAAGCTGGGTGTAGAAAGGGAAATAGCTGTAATGAATGAGCAAACACCTATCTCAAGCATAAAATTGAGATTGAAAAAAAGCAGGAAAACTACTTGCCTTTCCGAAGTCTATATCTTCTGCAAGGTTCTTCCCGGCACTGTGAACACCAAATATTTGCACCCTTTGTTTTGCATCAGGCAAACCAATATACAGGCGACGGTCAATACGTCCAGAACGGACAAACTCAAGGTCGAGTTCATCAGGCCTATTGGTAGCACAGATAAATATCACAGCTTGTCTCAAAGAAAACCTATCGATACCTGTCTTTTCCTTCCTGCAGGTGGTACAATTTTAAGAATGAAAACCTTGATACAAACCCAATGAAAACATGTACAAAAGGAAACATATATCTCACTAAGATTTCTAAACAAGTGCAGATTCTTACTCCCCGTCGAGCTGCGCAATTAAAGCTTCAAAAGTTGCTCTTCTTCGCGGATCTTTTCTAGCATGTCTACCAGCAATAGCATCTATTTCATCCACAAACACAAAAGCAGGTGCCTGCAGATAGTATATAATATTAGATCCACAATAATGTGAGTAGAAGACAACTATACCGTATGGCTTTTAAACTCATAACTAAGAGCCTTACATTTCGTCTCGCGATTGAAAACATCTCATTGATCTTTGCAGCACCACTTTTTTCACTGTCTGTGAACTCCGCACCAGATGCAAACACAAATGGTAGCCCACTTTCCTTTGCAAGTGTTCGCGCAAAAAGTGTTTTTCCAGTTCCAGGAGGTCCAGAAAGAAGCACACCCTGACTCAAAAATGAAAACAGAGGAGAGTTTGAGCTTAGTCAGTTAAATGGAACAAACCAATGGAACAAACCAATATATACATGTTAGTTTGGGTCAAGATGTAATTTACCCTGACAAAAGCCACATCTTTTTCATAGTATTGCATTGGGTTTCCCATGTAGATCATTAGCTCATCAAGAAGATCCCAAACATCACCACCTAGTACCACTTCCTTATACATTGATTTTGTCTCACTGACATCTCCAACCGGCTGTATGATAATTAAAACTCATCAATAGAAGAATGAACATGTTGGAAGAAGGTCACTCAACAAAGAAGTAAAAAGGTTACTGTTATACAGTAATGATGAGTACCAATATAAAATTTTCTGCATAAGCCATATCAAACAGCTGATTATACTTCTTGTAGAGAAAGCGCTTTGATGTGATGAGGAGAAGCATGGCAGATTCTCTTATAAACCATAAAATTAGTATCCCCGGCAGAAGTGCAATGAACACTTTCATGAAGTAGTGGATCTGCCTCTTTTGAAGAAGATCCACCTCAACTCCGGCATTGCAAATAGTCTCAAACAAGTAAGGATCTAAGGGAATGTCAACCTAGAAAGAAAAAGGATATGAAATGGTGAATGTACATCATTCATTTTCTAATATTTGCAACTATAAATTTTTTACTTACAATATATTCTAAAGGGAAGCCTTCTTTCATGGTCACATACAATCTCTTTAGGTCTTCCGTGAAGACAACAGCTGCAACCTGTTAGAGACACACACAGAGATTATCGTGCCAACATAAGCTAAAACAAGATCTATCATTCTATCACGTCCAGCTTTCAAATCAATTGCTTTGGAAAAAGAAATTATTCATCATATTTTAACTCATAATGAATACACCGTCATTTGTTATCATTTAAAATATTCAACTGGATATAGTAACATATGCGGCCCACAATCCCAAAGCCGGAAAAGAGTAGAGGTTAGAGCTGTACCTCAGAAGAATCAAGCTTCTGAAGGAAGTAGGTATAGGGAAGCTTAGGGCGATATCGCCACCATCTCTTTGATATCCAGAGAGCTCTAGTTCCCTCAGTTTCAGATGTCCTTTCAATAACATCTTTGCGAAGACTTTTCTCTACCTCTTTCATATCAAATTCAACAACATACTTTGCCGTTGAGGAGTTTAACTGTTCTGATATTTTTTCTCGTTCTAACATTTCCTTCCAGGTTGCAAGCCTTTCCCGCCAAGTACCTACACTGTCTCCAATTTCACCTATCATAGAAGAATACAATAGACGGATTAGATGGTCAAAAGCAACGGTTACCAATGATAGTCTATGAGGGATCTAGAAATGCTGCTCTGCAAGAAACTTGATTAGTTAGATAGATTAGGTCGTCAAAAACAAAGGTTTCGCACAATTAACGAGTTATTGTTGTATCTTCAGCATGCCACTACTTAGACAGGTATCCAGTTCTCTTCTACATTACAGCAAGGCAGCAGATAAATTATTATTTTTTATCATATATTCAAGAAAAGTGATGATAATATTAATAAAAAAGCTGTGCGCATATTGTAAGAATTTGCAACCACACAACTCAATATTTAATGCAAATCAGATGTTTCCATCCTAATGAATGTATACTGACCAGAGACACCAAGATCTTGGCTTAGTTTCTTTTTTGCCTCTGTCTGAATCCTAGCATTTCTATCAATTATTTTCTTGAGAGATCCCTCCGTGGTCTCTAGATCCTCATCCCACGCATTTTCTCCAACATAAGAACTATCGTGGACAAGCGTTCCATCAGGCGCTTCAATGAACCTTTTTAGTTTCAAGCCTTTAGGTGTTGTTTTCCTCCACATATTTCTCTTAAACCTGAAACACTAGACTAAGTCAGGACATTCTACAAAATCAAATAAAAAAAGTAGCTATGGTCTTCCCACTCTTGACGCTTTAGATGCCTCATTAGCTGAGTATATATACTTGTTAAAGAAGGTTACCATGTCCCAGTAGAGAAAATTACAATTGGAAAGTGAGGATTAGGAAGCACTTACTTTTCTATATTGCCAGGAGATGGCTCGGGGATCAAAGCCTCCATAAAAGACTCTGTTAACTCTCTTCTCTCTTGTTCCACTCGAGGAGCTTGGATGGCAACATAAACTCTTTGACAAGAGAATAACAGCGCAAAAGCATATATGAATAAGGCAGCAACTCGTTTACCGTCCCAATTCCTAATGTCCTGATACAAAACGTCTTCCCTCATTAAGAAACTACCTAAATACACCCCACAGACTAGCAATAAAATTCAGTTTCTCAAGTTTTAGTATATGTTGCTAGATGAAGCGTAGTTGTAGTCTCCTCCAAAACTTTTGCTTGCATTAATTCAGCAACAAAATAAAGAAATACCATACGCTTGTTCCTCAATGTTTCAAAACACAAGCAGAAGCACTGTCTAACAATACTTGAGAATCAGAAAATTGATAATTACGGTATATAGCTGAATCAGCTTACCTTCCAATGCTCCCACTTGTTCCAATCAATAAACGAAGGCACTGTTTCAGTCTTAAAGCGATTCAACTCGTGCACACTATCCTTAACTCGACCCACATACTCATCCACTCTCGCACTTGCTTCTTCCGAGTCAAACCCAATTCCCTTCTTCACAGACTCTCCAATCTTCTCCCCAATCCGCTCCGCACCAACGCGAATAGACTGCGCCAATCTCACCCACGAAAAGCCTCCATCGTTATTAGATGAAGACCCACTACTACTTTCAGACGCATAGACTCGAAAGAGCTGTTTTTTCCGGGTAGCTCCCAGTCCATACTTGGAGGGAAACCGAACAAGACCAGAACTTTCATGTCTTTTCAACAATTGGGTCGACGAAGAGATAAGCGGATTCGGCTTATACGAAATTGCAATCTCCATGTAAAAAAGAGAACAAAACCAGACGCATTTGAGGATTTTTCCCGATTAAAGAGCTCTCTCTGCGGAAATCACTGAAGGGAAATGGTGAGAACAAATCATTCAGCTTACTCGTCTCACCGGCAAGACTTACGCTTCTCTCCGGCAAGAAGGTTTATCTACACTGATCCGTCGTTGAGTGTCCCACTGTCCTAATTATTCGAAGGAAAAAGATAGACGCTTAAAGGCTCGAGCCTCCAAACCCATTAACGTCCATCGGCCCACTATCCGAAAGTTAAAACCGTGGAATCCAAGGAGAGAGATAGTGGCAAGAGAGATAGTGGCAAAAGGGTAATTATAGCGACATTTCTTGGGGTGTTGTCCAAGCTGCTTTTATATAAGGGATAGTGTTCTCTCGCTTCTCGAAAGATCCATCCACCAACTCTTTTTCCTCTGTAACGTTCGATCATCTTGTCTGTTAATTACAACCACTTATGTAAGAATATTCTTTCTTCAGATTCGCTCCTAAACGATTCCGATTGATTTTTTCTCGATTAGGTTTTGAGCTAGATTTCTCTAGATCTGTATTCACCGATTTGTTTGATTTCTCCGTCAATCTGATCTCACTGTGCATCTTGTTGTTTGCAGTGTTTTTAATTCGTCTTACGAAGAATCTACTATGGCGACGAAGAGAAGCGTTGGAACTTTGAAGGAAGCGGATCTGAAAGGAAAGAGTGTGTTCGTGAGGGTTGATCTCAACGTTCCTTTGGATGATAACTCTAACATCACCGATGACACCAGGATTCGTGCCGCTGTTCCCACCATCAAGTACTTGATGGGTAACGGATCTAGGGTTGTTCTCTGCAGTCACTTGGTATGACATCTCAGTTCTCACTTTTCATACTTGCTTATATGTTGTGAATTTTGATCTGATTTGTTTATCCGGCGAGTATTAGCAGAGTCTCTTTGCGTGTTCTTGTTTTTCAATATGTTCATTGACTCTATCGATTGATTTTCTTCTGTAGTTTGGATATTATTTTTAGTAAGTTTACTTGCATATGTTATCAAATTACTGGATGCGTCTGATCTCAATTTATGTTTCAGGGCCGCCCAAAAGGTGTTACTCCTAAGTACAGCTTAAAGCCTCTTGTGCCGAGATTGTCTGAACTTCTTGGTGTTGAGGTTTGTTCCTCTAAGCTTTCTGAACATCAGCCTTTAAGTATACTCTTCTCACTCTATTTGGAACCTGCCCTCTTCTGTTATTAATAGGTTGTTATGGCAAATGACTCTATTGGTGAGGAAGTCCAGAAGTTGGTTGCAGGACTACCTGAAGGTGGTGTTTTGCTCTTGGAGAATGTGAGGTTCTATGCGGAAGAAGAGAAGAACGATCCTGAATTTGCAAAGAAGCTTGCTGCTCTTGCTGATGTCTATGTTAATGATGCCTTCGGAACTGCTCACAGAGCTCATGCTTCCACTGAGGGTGTTGCCAAATACTTGAAGCCTTCAGTTGCTGGTTTCCTCATGCAAAAGGTAATTTATTTTGCATCATTAAAAGTGTCTTCACAGATGAATCTTATTATATTTACTGATCAGACTATGACTTGTTTGTTGTGTCAGGAACTTGATTACCTTGTCGGAGCTGTGGCAAACCCCAAGAAGCCTTTTGCTGCCATTGTTGGAGGCTCAAAGGTTTCAACAAAGATTGGTGTCATTGAGTCACTCTTGTCCACAGTTGACATCCTCCTGCTCGGTGGAGGTATGATTTTCACTTTCTACAAGGCACAAGGACTCTCAGTCGGATCTTCCCTTGTGGAGGAGGACAAGCTTGACTTGGCAAAGTCACTCATGGAGAAGGCAAAGGCCAAAGGTGTCTCTCTCTTGCTCCCAACCGATGTGGTTATTGCTGACAAGTTCGCTCCCGATGCTAACAGCAAGGTAACTGTCACATTCATTGTGGTGGACTCTCAATGGGTCATGAATCAAAATAAAACATTTAAGCGTCTGATCTGGTCTGTTTAAAGCTGACACAAATATGTAACTCTTGCAGATAGTGCCAGCCACTGCCATCCCAGATGGCTGGATGGGTCTAGATATTGGTCCAGACTCCATCAAGACATTCAGCGAAGCTCTGGACACAACCAAAACCATCATCTGGAATGGTCCCATGGGTGTTTTTGAATTCGAGAAGTTTGCAGCTGGAACTGAGGTATGACCAACTAAACACACTTAAGCCCAACTTTTAGTCGCCCTTTTATCAATATCTATCGCTCTTCAACATGTTTGTTAACCGGAGAAACCCAACTTACCTAACCCAATCTCTTGTCTTGTTTCACCATCAGGCCGTAGCAAAGCAGCTTGCAGAACTAAGCGGAAAGGGAGTAACCACAATCATTGGAGGAGGTGACTCTGTGGCTGCCGTCGAGAAGGTCGGTTTGGCTGACAAGATGAGTCACATCTCTACCGGAGGTGGTGCTAGTTTGGAGCTTCTTGAGGGGAAGCCACTTCCAGGAGTCCTCGCTCTTGATGATGCTTGAGAATCCTCACATTGGATTTTTATCTCTCTTTTGTGTTGTTATATGTATAACAAGTTGTCTGGTTTTCTCATGACCAGAGGAGCAAGCCATTATTATTGTCAGCTTGAGATTTCTGTCTGCGGCTCTCTTTTTTTAAGAGTTTTTAGTTTGGAGCCTTTTCTTAATAAAAAGAGATGAAACTCTGATTAGCAAACTTCTCCATACTTGAACCAAATTATAAGTTGTTCTTTTAGCTCATCGGCTCATATGTTCTGGATGATTTGTCTCTTGGCTAAAATTGTCCATTTAAAACAAAACAAGACCCGTTGGGACCTCTGATATGTGCAACAGTGCAAGGAGAAACATAAAATTCGTGTTCCATATCATTAACAACTGAAGGAAAGTTACAGGTCTTCAGAAACAGAGTAAATCTGAAAGGAACTGGTAAAATAAAGAAAATCTGAAAGGAACTGGTAAAATAAAGAAAATCTGAACAGCCCAGTAAGCGAGTAGTTTTCGGCCCAGTGAAGACATCCAATTTGTCCCACATCGAATAAAAGCAAAATTAGACGTCAAAGGATACATGTATAAAATCATTGGATGCTCCCACATGTTGTCTCAATGAGCCGTGTATTGAGCACATAGCCAACAATTCTTTCGCCTTTTACTAAAGAATACCGTGTGTTCTCTATGCTAAACGGCATACACCTATTTTTGGAGGAGTAAGTTCATATGAAGTTTCTCCATTATAACATCAGTTTAATAATTCTTACGCATTATTTAGTAATTTAGAAATCAGTAATTTCTTTCTAAACCGTTTCTGGATGATTATTGAGTTCATGCAGTAAAAACGTTAAAGGCCCAATAACGACATAAGAAAATAGTCCCACATCGGATGGAACAGAAACTAAACCTGGAAGGATTCACATATAAAAGGCATTGGTGCAGACTCATCTGAACTCATGGAGCCGTGTGGTGAATGCAAACTGAACTATTCTTTCGCCTTTTACTAAAGAATACCGTGTGTTCTCCACGCTAAACGGCATACACCTATTTTTGGAGGAGTAACTTCATCTGAAGTTTACTTCAATTATCCCTAAGTTCAATTGTTAAGTTTTGTATCATTTCCCTTGATGTTTACAAATAAGATAGAAAATGAGATTATTTAAAGAAGGTGATATCTGACGAAAGAATTAACAGGTTAATGATGAAAGATTGGTATGCTGTCTCCAGGAGCGGTTAAGTGAACCGATTGCTGGATATGAATTTCACTTGTTTGGATCCACAGTGCATTTTTGAGTTTTCTAATTATGTATGAGTATGATGTACGATTTGATTCTGTACCCAAAACCGGGACATTTCACCAATTCTCAATACCGGTTTACCTTCTAACCGGTTAAAATCGATCCAGAGTTTGCTCCGATGGCAGAAAACCCTTGACGATCAAAAGAAAGCCGTCTTCTTCCTCAGACAGAGTCTCTTCCATCTTTAATCGGAGAAACATTTAAAATCCCTTCAGATTACCGGAAGCTCTGTGAGCTTTCTCTTGCGTCTAATCTCTCCGACCAATCCAAGTGAAGGTGGGCGCTGTATTGCCGCCTATTTTTTTATCTCAATTGGTGTTCTTCATTTGCTAGTTATGGAATCCAATCCCCTTGTAAAACCCTAATTTTTGCATCTATGAACTCCCGAACAATGAGATTTGATTTCTCATCCGCTTCGCATTTACTATGAAACCACAGATGTTCTTTCGATCAGTCATTCAGTTCTACTCAAAGCCGTCATGGATGCAACGTTCCTACTCTTCCGGTAACGCCGAATTCAATATCTCCGGCGAGGTCATCAGCATTCTAGCTAAGAAGAAACCTATAGAGCCTGCTTTAGAGCCGCTTGTTCCGTTTCTCTCGAAGAATATCATCACATCGGTAATCAAAGAGGAGGTCAATCGACAATTAGGATTCCGTTTTTTTATATGGGCGTCGAGAAGAGAGCGTCTCAGGAGCGGAGAGTCTTTTGGTTTGGTCATCGATATGCTCTCTGAAGATAATGGGTGCGATCTATACTGGCAGACATTGGAGGAGCTTAAATCTGGAGGCGTCTCTGTCGATTCTTATTGCTTCTGTGTTCTGATCTCGGCTTATGCTAAGATGGGTTTGGCGGAGAAAGCAGTGGAATCGTTTGGAAGGATGAAGGAGTTTGACTGCAGACCCGATGTGTTCACCTACAATGTGATATTGCGAATCATGATGCGAGAAGATGTCTTCTTTATGTTGGCTTTTGCTGTGTACAATGAAATGCTCAAGTGTAATTGTTCCCCAAATCTATACACGTTTGGTATCTTGATGGATGGATTGTATAAGAAAGGGAGAACGAGTGATGCACAGAAGATGTTCGACGATATGACCGGTAGAGGAATTTCGCCTAACAGAGTTACCTATACCATTCTCATTTCAGGTTTGTGTCAGAGAGGAAGTCCTGAAGATGCACGAAAGCTATTCTACGAGATGAAAGCGAGCGGTAACTATCCTGATTCTGTCGCACACAATGCTTTGCTTGATGGGTTTTGTAAATTAGGTCGGATGGTTGAAGCATTTGAGCTGTTGCGGCTTTTTGAGAAAGATGGTTTTGTGCTTGGTCTTCGAGGTTATAGCAGTTTAATCGATGGATTGTTCAGAGCTAGGAGATACACTCAGGCATTTGAGTTGTATGCAAATATGCTGAAGAGGAATATTAAACCTGACATCATTTTGTACACGATATTGATTCAAGGGTTATCTAAAGCCGGTAAGATTGAGGATGCATTGAAGCTGTTACGCAGCATGCCAAGTAAGGGCATTACCCCAGATACCTACTGCTACAATGCTGTTATAAAGGCTCTATGTGGGAGGGGACTTTTGGAAGAGGGTCGGTCCCTCCAACTCGAGATGTCAGAAACGGAATCCTTCCCTGATGCGTGCACACACACAATTCTTATTTGTAGCATGTGCAGGAATGGGCTGGTAAGGAAAGCCGAAGAAATTTTTTTGGAGATTGAGAAGAGTGGTTGTTCTCCTTCGGTTGCTACTTTTAATGCTTTAATCGATGGACTGTGCAAGTCCGGTGAGCTCAAGGAAGCCAGGTTATTGTTGCATAAAATGGAGGTCGGGAGACCTGCTTCCTTGTTTCTAAGGCTTGCGCACAGTGGAAACCGGAGTTTTGACACCATGGTTCAGTCTGGTTCGATTCTCAAGGCATACAAGAATCTTGCACATTTTGCTGATACCGGGAATTCGCCAGACATTGTTTCTTACAATGTTCTTATAAACGGGTTCTGCAGAGAGGGAGACATTGACGGTGCTCTCAAGCTTCTCAATGTGCTTCAACTAAAGGGTTTATCCCCTGACAGTGTCACTTACAACACTCTCATCAACGGACTTCATAGAGTCGGCAGAGAAGAAGAAGCTTTTAAACTCTTTTATGCTAAAGATGATTTTAGACACAGTCCTGCGGTTTACAGATCGCTCATGACATGGTCATGTCGGAGAAGAAAGCTCTTGGTGGCTTTTAATCTATGGATGAAATACCTAAAGAAGATATCTTGCCTGGATGATGAAACAGCTAATGAGATTGAACAATGTTTCAAGGAAGGGGAAACCGAGAGAGCTTTAAGACGACTTATTGAATTGGATACCAGAAAAGACGAGTTAACGTTAGGGCCTTACACGATATGGCTGATCGGGTTATGCCAATCAGGGAGATTTCACGAGGCCTTGATGGTGTTTTCGGTTTTAAGGGAGAAGAAGATCCTTGTCACACCTCCGAGTTGTGTCAAACTGATTCATGGACTCTGCAAAAGAGAACAACTTGATGCAGCAATAGATGTGTTCTTATACACTCTAGATAACAACTTCAAGCTGATGCCTAGAGTTTGCAACTACCTCCTAAGCTCCCTCCTCCAATCTAGAGAAAAGATGGAGATTGTTTCGCAACTTACAAACAGAATGGAACGTGCAGGGTACGATGTTGACTCGATGCTTCGATTCGAGCTTTTGAGACTTCATAGATATAGAAAGCAGGTCCTGATAGATCTTTAGGTAAGGAAAGGATACTTAAAGGTATATCTACATCCGGATTCATTGGCGCGGGTTTTGTCGAGAAGAGAAATTTGAGTTTTGATTCAGTCTCTTTACCTTAACATTACATTAGAGTAGAAGAATCTCTGGAAACCAGAAGCTCTCGAGGAAAAGGAAAAGGAAAAAACATGAGGTTATACGTAAATGCTTTATTTATAGAGTCGTTTTTGAAGATTTCCTTATCTTTATTAAGTGAGATTTCCTTATCTTTATTGTACACTGATTTGTTATGTATGATGATGTTAAATCTCTTTGAAATAAAGACTAAACATGTCTGAATCTCTCTGGTTTCCTTCCAAGGCCTGTTCCAACAAGTTGACATCAACAAAAAGCATCTGCTGATTTCAAGCTGGAAAGGGCTTTTTAAAAAAAAAAACGGCCCAGATCTGTCTGACGTGGCATCACCAAGGGATTTCCCAAATCAGTATCTCAGTGCCAAAACGACAAAAGATCACAGTGAGGCCGAGCAATCATGGGCCTGAGCGTTGATCCACGTGTCTTTGTATTCCACGTCCAAATCTCAACCATTCGTTTTCATATGCCAATGTCATCATCTTTTCTACCATTTTTTTTGTGAGTTTTTGTTTGCTGTCACAAATATTGAAGCAATATAATCTTGGTGTTGGAAAAATGCAATAATTCATATATGTATCCTTAATTCCTTATATAGGTGTGCCGCAGCAGATCTTACTTAACCCATCATCAATATTTCATAGCAACAGAGTGTGTCGTCTCTCTATACTCTACAGTCGTAATAGGCACATCAATAGATTTGCCTAAAAAACTCCGTTGAGTAGACAAAAAGAGTGCAATTCCAAAGCATTTCTTTTTCTTTGGAATTTAAAAATAGGAAAAAGGTGAAAATCTGCCAACATATTGGATTCTTCACGTTTGTTTGTTTATAATTTTGGTTGGCTCTACACCTACTCTCAGAAGTCAGAAGCCAAGCAAAGGTGTTTTAGGGTTTTTGACCGCGAGCGAGATCTCTCTCTTTGTTTCTCCAGTTCCCAATCAATGGCCTTCTCTTCTCTCCTCAGATCTGCCGCCGCCTCCACGGTTGCCACTCCTCGCCCTGACTTTTTCTCGTCGCCGGCGTCTGATCATTCTAAGGTCAGAGACGACGTTTTGCCTTTTTTTTTTATCGATGTCATGTTGGATATGTTTAGCTTCGTTTCTGATTCTCTCGTGTTTCTGTTCGATTTGATTTTGCTTTTAGCTTGAGTCGTGCTTTGATCTGCTTGAATTTCGTCTTTACTCGCCTTTGGTTACTTTGAAGAAGATGTTTGATAGTGATAAATATTTTCTTTAGTTCCGTTCTGAGTTTCTTAGCGTAAGCTGGTGACGCAATCAGCGGAGCTTCTGTGACTCTCTCTGTTTATCGAAGTATGAATCAGGCTTATCAATCCTATTTTTGTCTTCGTTCTTGCGTTTTCGTATGTTGTCTCGTTTAACGATGAAATTGCTTGAGGTTTGAAAATCTTATTTGTTGGTCTTTTAGAACGTCTAATGGCATACATTTGGACTTGTTTGTTTTGATATTTGAGTTCTTCCACAAGAAAACAATCGTAATTATTATCTTTTGTCTCAAATTCTCAGGTGTCCTCAAGTCTTGGATTTAGTCGCAACCTGAAACCATCGAGATTTTCTTCTGGGATATCTTCGTCTATACAGTTCTGTGACAAATTCTGTAACATGTGTAAAATGTATTTCTGAGGCACTTTTTCGATTCTCAGAGTTTTTTTGTTTGTTGATGTTGAAATGTACAGAAAATGCAATGCAAGAAGTGTGCAACCTATCAAGGCCACGGCTACACAAGTGCCATCTGCAGTTCGAAGTAAGTAATAAACATAATTATTCATTGGATGTGTTTTGATGTTGTGTGCTTATTGGTGAATTTGATTTGATTTGCTTGAGTAGGGTCAAGTAGCAGTGGAAAGACAAAGGTTGGGATCAACGGTATGTGCTTTTTATTGATTGATGCCATTTGTTTCAAGTCCCAGATCATCATTTACTTTCTTAAGACCCCCAAACTTTTTTCGTTTCTTATGGAAGCTCTTTTCTTTTTGCTGTGAGTGATGCAGGTTTTGGTCGGATTGGAAGGTTGGTCCTCCGCATTGCAACATCCAGGGATGATATTGATGTTGTAGCAGTGAATGACCCATTCATTGATGCCAAGTACATGGTAAGAATGCCTTAGAAGATGGATATTCTATACTGGTATGACCAAAAAAATCAAAAATAATGGTATTCCCTGAAACGCTACTTATGCTCTGTTCTTACTCTGAGTTACGTTCTTGCTTGCTTGAACCCGGTATAGTTTGAGAAAACCTTGACAATGCATCATATCTTAGTCTTCTTTTCCACTGAACAAATGTCTGGTTTTCTACTCCCTATTCCACAGGCTTACATGTTGAAGTATGATTCTACTCATGGAAATTTCAAGGGAAGCATCAATGTCATTGATGATTCTACCTTGGAGATCAATGGGCAGAAGGTCAATGTTGTCAGCAAGAGGTATTGCTTAAAAGTGGCATGTTATCTTCTACCGCTCTGAGAACAGGTGTTTTCACTTTAGAACCTAATCCTGTTTATTCTTCCTCAGAGATCCAGCTGAGATACCATGGGCTGATCTTGGAGCTGATTATGTTGTTGAGTCTTCCGGTGTATTCACCACCCTGTCAAAAGCTGCATCCCATTTGAAGGTACATTTTCATACAAACATTTGTCGATATCGTTTTATGATGATATTGTTTGCTTGATATTTCATCGTTTTTGCAGGGCGGTGCCAAGAAAGTTATAATTTCTGCCCCTTCAGCTGACGCACCTATGTTTGTTGTTGGAGTAAATGAGAAGACATACCAACCAAACATGGATATAGTATCCAATGCAAGTTGTACCACCAATTGTCTTGCCCCTCTTGCGAAGGTTGGTAATGTTGCGCAATGATCTTACCTTCATTTGTGCTTGTTTTTTGGCCATATATCATTCATTGCTAATAGATTCATTAAGGTCAACTAAACTGTATTTGGCAGGTGGTGCATGAGGAATTTGGTATTCTTGAAGGCTTGATGACAACTGTCCACGCAACTACAGGTCTATATATCTTGCTCTCCTGTTTCAGATCACTGAATGTTGATAACTTAATAACACAAACCTGTGTGTTTTTGGTTATTTTCTTTCAGCTACTCAGAAAACTGTTGATGGGCCATCAATGAAGGACTGGAGAGGAGGTCGGGGCGCTAGTCAAAACATCATTCCTAGCTCAACTGGCGCTGCGAAGGTACACAAAAAATCGCATGGTTATCTACAAGCATGTAAATATCTTAAATCTGGAATCATATCTGAGCCGTGGTTTTTTTATCGAGTAGGCTGTAGGTAAAGTTCTTCCAGAACTGAATGGGAAACTTACGGGAATGGCCTTCCGTGTACCAACATCGAATGTTTCGGTGGTGGATTTAACTTGTCGACTTGAGAAGGGTGCCTCTTACGAAGATGTTAAAGCAGCCATTCAGTATGCTTCTCAAAATTTTCTTGACCCCTCATCAAAATATTATTGTTTGATGTACAACTCATAGTAACCTCTCATGGTATAATGTAAACCTCTAATAGGTATGCCTCAGAAGGACCTCTTAAAGGTATTCTCGGGTACACAGATGAAGATGTTGTCTCCAACGATTTCGTCGGTGATTCAAGGTTGGTCTCTCTTCTTTTCTTCAAAGCCATCGAAATCTTTTTTTGTGGTTGACCAATGTGGTGATTTCAATTTTGTTAAAACAGGTCCAGTATCTTTGACGCCAATGCTGGGATTGGATTGAGCAAGTCCTTTGTGAAACTTGTCTCTTGGTACGACAACGAATGGGGTTACAGGTACACTTCTTGTTTCCCATCTCATATTTACTCCATTAGATATAGCTAACAGTTCTAACACTAACAAATCTTCTCCCATTTTACTTACAGCAACCGAGTTCTTGACCTTATAGAGCACATGGCTTTGGTAGCAGCCAGTCACTAAATACACACCAGTTCTTGCAGAAGCTTGAGACTTTCTGTTTTTTGCGTAACCTGCTCTACAAAGCCGGTTTGGATTTGTTCAATTCAATTAGGTGCTAGGTGTTTTGAGAAATTTGGTTTGAATCACGAGCCTATCTTCTATTTTTGTTTTGTTCCAGTATGAGCAACTATGGAAACTAGATTGGGTCCAAAAGACTAAAAACTGTGCGACTTACATCTATCAAATAAGGGGCTAAACTTGTGGTACTTTACCAAAAATAGCTTACCAGTATAAGCAACAATTGTTTGGAAGCTTCTTGATAGTGAGTGCATCGTTAGCTTTGCCCGTGCTTATGACAAGATATCACTCACCACTGAAACAAGTTTTTTAGAAATTAAAACAGAAATTGAATTAGATAATTTAGATTAGCTGTGTAACTAAATAACGGCTACGCTATCGTTTATGTCTTCTTCCTCTGCTATGTTTCAGAAGAAAGCTTACTCGTTTTTTCATTCAACGAAACTCGTTCGGTTTTGGCGATATCTGGAAGCTAAGCTGAGATGGACAACCTCATCATCTATCTCATCTGTCTTGTTTTTGATCTCTTTCAAAACTTGTTGTCTCTTCGCCATCACCATTACTTAAGAAAGACGACTATTTAGAGTTAATGGGAAGGGAAGCACACTCCAGTGTGGCTATAGCTCAAGGACATGAGTCATTTACTGGCCACCATGTGGATAAAGGGATAAGGTTACGCTTATATCTTTTCGTCTGCCCCGATATTTAATGCAAACTACAACATTTTCCACGAACTATTGTTTATTCCAAATGTTTCCTAAAGTTTTGTTTATTACAGATGTCCCCTGAACTTTTTTTATGGCCCCTGAAATTTCGTTTTATTACAAATACCCCCGAAAATTTTGTAAATTCCAAATGCCTTCAAAAGTTTTGTTTATTACATGTTTGTTTCCTTAATTTTTGTTTATTACAGATTCCCCTGAATCTCTCATGGTTTGTCACAGAATGACCTCTAAACAATAACGTTCTAGACTCTAGGTGGAGATATATATTCTCCAATGATTTCGGCAGTGATTCAAGGTCTCTTCTTTCTCTAAATAACACCGAATGGTATTTCATTGGCTACATCAATTTGAAAATTGATCTTACAAAAATGGATAAGAGTGTTATATTTGTTCATCAGAGACGTCCACGTTAAAGTAAAATAATCTGTATATGGACAAGGTTCTTGTTCATATAAACCAAGAAGAAAAATGGTCCAGTTTTCAGGTCCACAACAACTTTTGCACCACCACGCATCCGCAGCCACGTATGTTCTTATGAATATTAAAAGAGTTATTTAAAAAAAAACCATTAAACGTAGAATGCCTTTCGGATTTAGGCACTTTGGTTTATGCCTTTCGGATTTAGGCACTCTATCCATGGGAAATGTCAGTTTTACCCTTAACTAAATGACGTCTTCTTCTTCTTTCTGTGCAACGAAAATCCAGCGGCTCTTCACGAACCTCTCTCTAAGCGCCTTCCTTTCTCTAAAATTCGCACTCATGGTCTCACTCCTCTTCTTCCTCCTCACTCTCTTCCATTTCGGCGTACCAGGACCGATCTCCTCACGATTCCTCACCTCCAGATCCAATCGGATCGTGAAGCCACGGAAGAATATCAATCGCCGACCATTAAACGATTCCAATTCCGGCGCCGTCGTTGATATCACGACTAAAGATCTATACGATAGGATTGAGTTTCTTGATGCAGATGGTGGTCCATGGAAACAAGGTTGGAGAGTTACGTATAAAGGAGATGAGTGGGAGAAGGAGAAGCTCAAAATCTTCGTTGTGCCTCATTCTCATAACGATCCTGGTTGGAAATTGACGGTGGAGGAGTATTATCAGAGACAATCCAGGCATATTCTTGACACCATTGTTGAGACTTTATCTAAGGTCTGACGAATTTTTGTTTGCTTTTGGTTTTAAATTTTTAAT